GACATGTAGAAGAATGAAATGCTCTTCCATTAGACAGCAGACGGGACAATGAAACTGCGCCCACTTGTTGCAAACAACAGTTGCAACGGATTTGGAATAGTAACTGGAATGATTCGAACCGAGATTGTCATGAAAACAAAACGGCGGTTACGACCGTGGACAGCCGGTCATGTTATCATTATTGGTGCATGAAAGGGTTAAAGGTGATACTACATATGCTGAACACCCCCCCCCCCCCCCCGAGTAGATGGAGCAACTTTGCAGTACTGCGTCTGTCAACACTTCGTACACAGCAAGCCAGACATTTGTGAAACGGCCACGCTTTTTTGGTATGGAAAATCAATGAAAGGACTGTCTAATTCGGGAAGAAGTGTCAGGTTAAATTCATGATTCATTGTAGTCGCCGGGATTGCTGTGGAGGTGGGACGGGTCTCGCTTGCATTGCCTCGGCATTCATCATCACTATCTTTCAAACATATCGGATCACGATGAATAGGGGGAAATTAACAAGAGGGGGGTCCAAGCCAATCGAGGGAAGAAAAGACGAGGGGGAGAATTGCAAAGATGGATGATGCTTAAAGTTTGAGCAAAAAAAAAAAAAAAAAAAGCTAACATGCCAAGAGATGCCGGGTAGCTTGACATCACTCGTAACTCACAGCCCTCATTATAAAACCTACTTATCATTTCCATCATCAATATCCTTTGAAGAATACAGCCCATCATCATTAATTCAGGGCGATAGACAACATTTTCACATTGTTGATTGTGAAGCGCTAAACAAAGTCATACAAGCCTCGGTGGCTACGTATCATGACCCGCAACTTGTCATGTTGCCATTTCTTTCACTAATATCCTTGTGAAAACAGTAACCCCCCTCCCCCCCCCCCCAAAAAAAACAAAAAAAAAAACTAAACAAAAAAACAAAGCTGCTCTTTTATGAAAACAAAACTAGCTAGAAGGAGAAAGCATTTATTCCGCATGTCGTGCTGAGCATATATCGAAAATTTGATGACGCTCATATGGCGACATTGGTCTTCGAAATAGAACCCAGTTTGTTCGTGTTGATCAACAATTCAAGGTGGATGATTCATAGTCGAGTATAATGACATACTGATCCCAACAACAAGCAACCAACAAATTCCTTGTTTCTTAAGAAGCGGAACAAAATCCCGACGCACTCGTCATTGATGCTCTTCTCGTGTCCTGATTGTCAGACTAAAAACACGCAGGTGACGATAACACTTACACTCTGGCACGACGCAAATGACTTCTTGTGTTGGTTGATGTTCATACAAATGATGCTGCCTCCCCTCTTCTCATTATTGCCTCCACTGCTGGGATTATGTAGGAGGGAGAACACCGCGACCGGTATAATTTGCTCATTATGAGTTCAGGGGTGGGGGGAAGAAGGTGGGGGAAGGAAAAGGATGGCGCGAAGAAGAAATGGTCACTGATGATGGAGCGACTCCATCCCCGAGCTTCCCTGATCTTGGTGGAAGTCATTTCAGAAAAGGCTGAGAGAAAAGTGGCTTTAGGAGGAAAGGGAGTGGGTGGCGGGGGGGTGGGGAGGGGGTGTAGACACAGAGAAAATGGAGTAGGAGCTTCGGCATAATGCTGCGCAAGCTGGTGGAGGGAGGGTGACAGATGGAGGGATGATGGAGAAGAAGGACAGAGGGTAAAAAAAAAAATATAGGGGGAGTAGTAAAGACTTTGAGAGAGGTAAAATGTGAGAAGTGGTGTTTCGATCAGCTTTCCTCCTCTCAGCAGCAGCGGCGGCGGCGGCGGCGGCAGCAGCAGCACATGGCCGTTAGTGAGCTTATTTTAAACCACAAGGGTGCTGTGACCTAACTTATGCCTGGGCTTCAAAAATCCCATTGACTCGCCGGAAAAAAAAAAAAAAATTATAGATATATATATATCATATTTTTTTCGGGTATAAGGTTCATCGCTCCCATATCTAGCACCATTTTGAAAGCACATGTGCATGAGAATGTGAG